GGTCGGGGTCGCTCCCTTCTTCTTCCTCGCCCCGCAGCAGCTGGGACACCCCGCCCCCACCCCTCACGGGGCACCACGACCCTCGCGGTCCTGCGGGCCTTCCCTGTGCGCTGTTTAGGCTGTGCGAAATGGCTCCTTTTTCCTAGGCCACGGATGCTAGTTGCAAGTCAGCAGCTGCCCTAATTGTGCGCCCGCCCCCGTGTAAACACAGGTGCTGGGGCTGGCCAGGGAGGGATCCCGGTGTCTCTCTCCCACTCCTGACTTCTCTCCAAAGCCTGTCCTTAGGCCCTCGGGCCGTGGGACTGGAACCCAAACACCCTGCTGTTGCTTTTTTCACACAGTTTGAATAAGAAGAAATGGTATAAAGAGGGTTGGACGTGGTTTAAAACCTGTCGAGCGCTGGGTCACTCGCCTGCGCTTGTGAGTGCTTTGTGGCTACAAGCCCCTGTACTGCTGGGGTCTGTCCCTGTGGAGCTCTGTTGGCTTCCAGAGGGCTCTGTGCGGGCGCAGACAGCCACAGCCATCTACCCAGACAGCCACATCCAGATGTGTTACTTAATGGTGCACCAAAGGGGGACAAAGGAGGTATCAGTACCTACTGAGCACTGGGGTTGGGGTACAGCCTCTGAATTAGAGCTTCCTAGATCTTAAATGCTGGAGGCTACAAGTGAGGAAGAGTGGAAAAAAGCCCTGGTCATACATAGTTCACTCGCCCTTTTGGCATCCACTCCCTGCCCCTGGGTGACACAGGATACCTATGGTCTGCCGCAGTAAATGGCAGTTCTTATGTTTTTATGAGATTGCTTAGTGCACAGTCATTTGATACAGACCCTTGTTTTCAACCCCATAGTTTCTTGCATGTTGTATTTTTTCAGACATAGATCTTACATATTGTATATATTTTTTTTCTTTTGGTAGATGAAAACGAAGTGGAGAGACCAGAAGAGGAAAAGGCCAGGTGAGTGTGAGAACTGTGAACATGGAAACGTAGATGTACAAAAATGATGTTTGTTTCAAATTCACGCTTAGTTCTTGTGAAATTTCAGCCACTTGAATGTCTAACACTGGTGCATTAGAACTTTTCCTTTGCATAATTTATGCAATCTGCTGACCCTTTTAATTAAACGGTTTTACTGAAAAAAATTGAGACACATGACTGGGCGTTACTGTGAAAGTTCATTTTTACTTGTTAACTGCAGAGATAACACTGTGGAATGGATCAACATATAGAATCATGGGTCTGAAAAGGACATCAGGGTTTATCTGGTCCAGTTCCCTGCACAAATGCAGCAGGTGCTGTGTCTAAACATTCCCAGAAAAATGCTTATTCAGCCTCTTCTTGAAAACTTCCAGTGAAGGAGATTCCAGTTTTCTTGGCGACTTGTTTCATTGCCCATTGTTCTTATAGTTAAGAATCTTTTTCAAAGGTTTAATTTGCCATACTGGAGTTTAAAACCCATTTCTACATTATTGATATTACTTTATTGTTTAGGAGTCCCAGTCATGGGTTAGGACCCTACAATGCCTGGCACTGTAAAAGCATAGAATACAAAGACAGTCTTGCTCCAAGCAGCTTACACCCAGAGCAGTAGGAAAGATAGAGGAAGGTGGGGAAGCACTAGAAAACAGTTAAACAAGGTCAATCATTTTGTTAAGCTGTAGAAATAGTTTATCTTCAGCATGCCATTACCAGCTCATTTGGTAAACATTACAGTAAAGGAGAGTTATAAGATCGGATATGAAGGGCAATGAGATGGTTTTTTGGTTGTGCCCCTGCAAGGCACAAGGAGCATCATGGCAAAAAGTATGAAGGTGCTTGCTTGAAAATCTTAAGAAGTATGTGCCAGAGGTTGACATCATGGACTCATTGGAGATGGGAGTTAGCCTTTCAGTGTTGAATGAGAAATGATAGAGAGGATAGGGTTAGGCTGTAAAGATGAGCCAACATTTTTGAAGAGTTGATGAAAGGGGAGCCAGTAGAGAGAGGTGACCTGATCAAGAGAATGAATTGGGACAGGGGTGTAAAACTCATCTGGTTTTGCTTGCTAGATCAGTGGTTCATGAGTCAGATGAATGGTGTAGGGCAAACCCTGCAAATCAGATCCTGCCATGCTCCTGCGTTCCCTCCCCACGCACATTCTGCATCAGCGTGTGCGGCACCTGCTCTGGCCAGTCTGGGACCACTGCACATTGTGCCCATGTGGAGCTTGTTTAGGATGCACACCAAATGTGGTACCTGCTCCAGTCAATCTGAGACCCACACTGCACCTGGTGCCTTCCCCAGAGCACAGCACAGTTCCTGGATTGGCTACAGCAGGCATCATGTGCAGAACATGTCCTGCATGCAGGGTCAGTCTAGTGCATGCAGCATGTCAGTCAGCACCAGAGCCAGGTCACTACTGGGGCTAAATCTGACCCATACTCACTCCTGAACTACGAAAATTATCAGCATGTTAAATTTGGATATTACTGGGACTAGAGATTATATTTGTTTTACCCGAAGAGAAGACTAAGTATAATCAAGATGTGGGAGGATGAGAGCCTTGAAAAGAATTTTAGCTGCATGGAAAAATAGTGAAGGTGCTATCATAGAGCTATTGTGCAGAAAGAAGCTGCAAGACTTGGGTCCCTGGCATATGTTCATTTAAACATGTGCTGAGACCTGAAAAATTTTGTCCTGGATCCCCCAAACCATGTGTCCTGTCATGCCAGATGTTCAAGATCTGCCATGGAAGGACACATGATTTTTGGGATCTGGGATAAAATTATTCTGATCCTATTGTGCACCCAGGGCCTTTAAGGCCATTCAGCACTGCCTGACATTAGACTTCTCTGGGCTGCATGGCCAACTTTAAATGTCCCAGCATTCAGAAGCCAATGGGTACCCCCATGCTTGCAAATTTAAAGCCAGTTGTGAAGTTTGACATAGGGCTGCATGGTGCAGCTTTAAATGTCCTGTGTCTAAGGAATGGGATAACTGCATGCTATTAAGTTTAAAGTCCTACCATGCAGCCCAGGATTGGGATGCACTGTGCAGCCTTACCATGCCACAAATTCATGTGAAGTACGATATAAACCAGGCCCGGGATGTTCAGTGTTAAATGTGGAACATCTTTGTGGGAAGTAGGCTGCTTTACGGCATTAAATTGTTTGAACATGTGGTTTGTTATGGTATCACTTGATTAACACCTTAATTGTGCAATAAGTGCAGCGTCTGTTTGGGGCCTTAAACATTGCATGGATGTGGGGGTGCAGTGATAGGGTTTCTATTTGAAGATGTGTCTGAGGTTGCAACTCAAAGTAACAGACGTTGTGGTGATGCTATCCACACTGATAGAAAATGAAGGTCAAAGGAAACAGTTGCGTTACTTTGGGCACCTAGTGCTGCAAAAGGAAGGAGAATGCCACACAGTGGATCATTGTAGGAGGCGTATCTACTGAAAATTTGCTAAGAAGGAGCAGCATTTCAGTAGAGAAGCTATAGTGAAGTGCATGAACGGTGTGTGCCCCCAGCGGCTGGTGGGGCATGGCTGTGCCGGCCGCAGCAGCGGGGGCCCAGCAGCAATGAGCGGGGAGCTCTTGCAGACGCCGCTGGCACTGTTGGTGGGGGGAGGGGGGTAGCGAGTGCCAACCATGGGTCAATGACCGCCGGCAGCGGCAGCCAGGGACTGCCGGCGGTGGTGTGGTGACAAGTGACTGCCCGCAGGCGCTGCCAACAGTGTCGGTGGCAGCTTTTTGCAGGGAGTGCACTGCCACGCACAGGGGGTGCACGTACACATTGCCTCTGGTGAAGTGAACTCAGTTTTCCATGTGTGCAGCTGCATTTTCAGTGCAGGTAAATACATGTGCAGTGAGCAAATAAAAGGCATGAGAATGATAAATGCGGTATTAAAAAGTAGTTTAAAAATTAGCCTACAGCTATTCATTTTTATCAGTTTTTGTTTGGTGTTTTTTCTTCATTTGATATTGATTAGCTTGTTCCTAAAGTAAGATTTGACATCTTGTAAAGGTAACTTTCACATTTTAGACCCTCAGTATAATTATCTAGTTTATTAATCTCGCTGCTGTTGATTTTTACTTCCACATACCATCCAGACAAGGAAAACTCTGTCCTTGCCTTTGCAACCTGAGGGCTTTTGTACACATGCTCTGGATTGGGCGCTTTTAATTGGAGCGGCTCAAGAGCCGCTCTAATGAAGTGCCCAGAGTGTCTCGTGTATCAGAGTCCTCATGATTAAAAATGGTGGTGGGAGCGCTTTAGTTAAATCACCCCCACTGCCATTTTTAAGCACAGGGCTGCTGATACATGAGACTCTGGAACCTGTTGGAACACGGGAATTACCATGTTCCAGCAGACTCGATTAATCAAGTAATTGCAGCACGTCGGAGCAGTCTTGCTACTCGTGTATAGGTGCCTAGAAGCCCCAGTCCTGCTCCCATTGGTAGAAAAGCTCTGTTTGACTTCAGTAGGAGCAGGATGCAAACATGATGCTACTTGTAAATCCTCAGTCAGCATCTAGTTAACAGAGTTTGTATCACCTTAGAATACTGTTCAGTTGATATTAGGTAATCACATAGAAATCCCTTAATTGGCAGGTATAGAAAAAACAGCTAAGTGTTTGGTTATGTTTCAAAATGCTGATCATGAATGCTCTTTCACTATTAATGTAAAGACATACATGAGTAACTAGTTTACATTTTCTATTTTAAGTGCTCCAACTCCTTCTGGAAAAGAAGAGGAGACTGCTGAAAACGGTGTAGTGAAAACGGTAATTTTAAATACATATTACTAACAAATTATTGGGCAATCTGTTTTGCTTCACTTGGGATAACAATAACTTAATTGATGAAAAGCTTTAGTTTAGTGACTGATTTTTACACTTTTGTTTACTATATTGTCAATAGCTTACTATTTTTCATCTGTTTACTAATTTTACTTTTGGTTTCATCCAATAAGAATCAGAACCTGCTCTTACCATATTTCTTGCATTATTGGACACTTTCTTCTTTAGCCGCTGCTTTTTTGGGAAAAGGCATATGTTGAAGGCTAGAAACATAGTAATTTAGGAACTGCAGAACTTAAAAGCCTGACTTCTACAATATATGCATGTAGGGCACCTAATCGTATCAGAATTGCCTGGATTGCCAAATTACTTTCTATAATCTTTCCCAGAACACTCTTAATAATACTAAAAGCATGACTGTGTATTTTTATGAAAGTTCCACAGATTCATTTTTGGAGAGACTTTATCTTTTAAAATGGGTCTTAACGATACCTAATTAGTGTTTAAAAATGTTCTGTGATTGTAAGGTGAAAAATATAATGTAAGCACTAAAAGCTTTGTGGCTGTTTCTCACTGTAAGTAGGTGGTATTCTTAATATTTTTTTGGATACAGAGAAGTAACTAGCTACTATTTTAAATTGGAGCATTAATGCTGACATTCAGTATTTAATTTCTGATGCTTTCTGCCTCCCGCCCTTCCAGTCCATCTTCAAGCAATTAGGCATTTTACATCTGTATCTTTTTTACAGAAGACAGTATAAACATGTCATTTTACATTTAAGAAAATAAGGTGCAAAATAGAAGAATAAGAATTTTCTACATAAAGTTCCCGCAGCAACCCCAAAAGTGTGCATAATGTTATAACTACTAGACTAACAGAAATAGAAAAGGCTAACTTATTTATGGACTGTTGATAATACTCAATCCATTAAGTTATTCAACATGTAATATTCATGTGGCAAAAGACAGAAAATTTTACTTTATTTAATAAAATGTTAGGCTTGCTGAAAAATGTATCTAAATGTTGTTTGGACCAGTCTTTTATTTATTTATATGTGTATATAGTATATAATTTCTGCATGCACGTGTGTGTATATGTATGTATATATGTATATGTATGTATATATCACTCTGTTTAATTTGTCATGGATATATAATTAAAATGCTGAGAACATGGTCTTGCTTACCTTTGTTCTTCCCATAATAAGGAGGTGATAGTAGAGATGAAGTATTATGAAATGAGTAGAGGGGAAAAGATCTTGAGTAGTCGAAACCAATTTTTTTCTCTTTTCCTCTCATGAAATTTTACAAAACCAGTTGATATTCACGATGCCTACCTTGGATTGACCCTGTACATCCAAATGTTAGCAAGCATTGCTGTCTCAGTAGCTGAGCTTGCCTTTTTATTTAGGGCCCTTTGATGTAAAGGGATACATGCCATCTTGAAGCAAACAAGTGTTACATTAATTTAATCTGTATTTGTTTTTTCATCAGAGATATTGACATTAATATCTGGGTCAAAGGTAAATATCTTAGCAAATATTTAATTGCACCTGTTCTTTAAGCAACATCTATTCTTATTGCAGAAGGTAACAGTGGCTGAGGATGACAGTGATAGTGACAGCGATGATGATGAGGATGATGTTCAGGTTACCATAGGAGATATTAAAACAGGAGCTCCCCAATATAGGTAAGTTATTTTTGGATGTTGAGGGAAACATTTAAGGTCTCAGAATATTAATTTACACCTTATAGGAAGTATGTAATTTGAAATAAGCAACTTTTAATTTATTCTTAGTGTGCTTCTATTTAGCTGTTTAGCCGTTCCACCTAGTTACATTTTAAATGTGAATGATTTATCAAATTGATCTGAAAATAGATGCAGGAAAGAACCATCACTGGATTACATTTTCAGTTTCAGTTTTTGAACAGACAGTTGCGCTGTAGCAACATGTGGAAGCTAAGAGTTTTAATTTAAATGAAAATGTTATAATTTTTATAATTGAATTACAAAGTGTTTTTAGATTCGTGTTTATATTATGATGACACTTCCTTTCGAGACTGTAAAGCATTAGGTGCAAAGAAGATTTGTCATGTTTTTCTTTCCTCAGCCTGGTTTCCATTGGACAAGTTTCATAGTAAAAAGTTAATAGTTGGCATTCTTATAGACATTCTCAGAGAGATCTAATGAACTGATCAAATTAACTGTCTGTGGGCATAGTCCCTCGAGGTCAGGGTTCAAGCATGTTATTGTGCTGTGAAAAAGAGTTTGTATTATTGCTCTTTGTCCTGTATTTTTTCTTCAACTCAGAAACAGGACTTAATCTTCATTTTCTGTTAACAGCAACTTTCAAGTTCATTTAAAATTATGGAGTATTACTTTCCAAGTGAGTTATGTGTTTGTGGAAAGCATTCTGAAGCAAAAGGTCCACTATAGGGTTGCATTCAGCAATCTGAATGCATTTATGCTCAGAAAGAATAGACCTAGAAGGATTTAATGTCATATTGCTGCTTGGCATAACAAGCCTGGGATATGTACATTATTATAGTCTTAACTACAGATCTGTTACATACTGGGTGTGTCTACATGTGTGCTTTACTGTAGAGTTGACTGAAATCAGTGTTTCTCAACCTGTGGGTTGCAACCCAAAAGTGGGTTGCAAGAATATTTCAAAGGGTCGTGAGCAAGTGTCAGAAAAATGCATGAAAGCACAGGTTTCCCCTTGCAGGCTGGCAGTGTTCCAGCCTGCAAGGGGCTGCTTGGGGCATGGCCAGTATGCAGCCAGGCAGGGTCATCGGAGGAACCCCAGCAGTTGGATGCAGGTAAGTGTGTGTTGAGCAGGGGTTGGAAGGCCAGGGCTTAGGGACTGTTGAGGCGAGGAGTGTGGGGCAGGGGGGGGTGTAGGCACCTGCCAGAACTGGGGGAAGGTGGCTGGGTGCTGAGGCTACAGGTGGGCCAGGGGGAGGCACCTGCCCCTTCAGTGGGGTAAGGGGCAGGGGGAAGCTGCATGGCTGGGCTGGCGACACCAGGGCTGGTGCCCATGCTTATGGGGGCAGGATGGCCAGGAGACACTGTTCAGGGGGCAGGAGGGGCTGTGATCAGGCTGTCTGGCACAACACAAGCCCTAGCCCAGGGCAGGTGTGCCACAGGCCTCCCCTTCTCCCTCCAGCCTGTACCGGGCCAGACTCGTTCCACTGCCGCCTGCATGAGCCAGAACCACTGCACTCCTGCCTGAGTGGGATGGGGGCAGCTGGGGGCCCCCTGTGATAGGGCTGGGGTGGCAGGGGGCTGTGGCTTGGGAGTGAGGGGCCCCGGCATGGCCGGGGGTGGCTGGATCCTGGTACAGAAAAGGTTGAGAACCACTGGGCTAATTCACTCTGCAGTAAAGCATCACTGTACACATGTGCTAGTATTAGAGCGCAGTGAATTAATTAACTCTGCTATAAGATAGTATTGTCCTTACTGCAGAGTAATTAAGTGCAATGAAACACACGTTTAGATGGTGACTGGGGCTGGCTAGAGCATGCTAAAGTGAGAGGGCTGTCTGCTGCCTAGTACTTTCAGTACTCTCATGCCCCAGCCAGCCCCTCTGCCACCTACCGCCACTGCCCGGATCTTGGAGCTGACTCGCTGAACCTGCTGCCAGCCTGGGGATGCTCTGCCTCAGCTCAGAGTGTTGCTGTCTTGGGCATATATGTAGCATGGGAAGTCAGAAGAAAACTATACTGCCATTTTAGTTTTGTATTATTGTTGTGCAAATTAGTTTTATCTAGAGACAGAACTAGAATTGCAAGGAAGTTTTACTGTGAATTGTACCCTTCCTGTCACTTAGCATGACTGTTAGTTACCCCCATCATGTGTATGACCAAACACTATACCTGTACTGGTGAGACACATTTTGCACACATTCATATGGAACTTTGTTCTAAATGATGGCACTAATTCTGGACTTTTCAAGTGATGGCTTTCTGCACACACCATGTGGGCCAACTGTAAGACTCAACGGCAGCACCAAGGACCAGATAAGAGAGTTCTGTAGGTCAAATCTGGCCTACAGGCCATATCTCCGACACCCCCAATGTAAAGCATTCTCGTACCCTAATCCCAGGAGATCCTTTGTATCTCTAAATAAGCCATTTAATTTTTAATTATTCTTCTGGTCTAATCCATTCTTTGGACTCTCATGACCATTACATTTTGACTCGGGAAGAGTGACTGAGATGCACATCACAACTAGTCGTTAGTTGGAAAAGTTACTGAGCATAGAGAGGTATACCTTCGTATTCCCAGGATGAGCTGCTTACTTGTACAGTGCCACCCATTTGGAGAGCTAGAGTTTTGGAATGGCAGTCAGGCTTGGGTCTATTTCTTGCTTCTGGCTATACGGAACTCTCATTTTTGAGAATTTTCTCTACCTAACTAAGTTTTGCTAATTTCTTAAAGCTATGGAACAGCACCTGTGAATCTCAACATTAAGACAGGAGGGCGAGTTTATGGATCTTCTGGTAAGAAAATTTATGCATTACGTTAATGGAAACTGTAACAAATGCAGTAATCTCTCTTGGTGGCATGTGTTCTGTGCTTTTAGTTACAGATTTCTTGTATTAAGTTTAATGGAATTAAGACATGTTAGTGAATTAGAAAAATATAAGATATTTAGGACTCTTAAGCCTGTCTGTTTTATTGATTCCATCATTAGGTTCAGAATTAGGGTGATTTAGATTATAATGTCTAGTTGTATTATGTGTTATTTATTAGTAGAATTTAAGGTAAATATACTTTACAGTAGAATGTCACTGTAAAAACTAAGTTGGTTTATACTGCTATATAGGTACCCAAAGGAATAAGTTGTACTATTTTGGGTAACCTTGTGTTAATGTTTCTTTCTCAGCCCTCCAAAAAACTTTTTCCATCAGCAGTAAGTGAGGTATCATTACTTAACATAGTATAAATTAACAAGATTCATACATAACAAGGGTCTGATGATGTTTTACTATTGTCCTCTTTTACCAAATGGCAAACTTAGTTAGAAAACTGTTGGGAGAAGAGACCTGCCTCATGCATGCCTATAAAGTAATTGTATATCTGCTTTTAATCATGAAAAAGTTACATGGCAGAAATAAGTCTATTAGAGCTTGAGGTCCAGAGTGCTGGGTCACTCTCAGCTCTGGGGGCAGAGAAACAGACCAAGACTGATCTTCGTTTTAACAATAGCAACTTTGAATTATTGATTGTAAGAAATGAATTATTGGTGCATTTGCATAAAGTTATTCCATTTCATAATAAAAAATACTATTTATATCTGAGCTTTGGGTCAAGTTTTAAAAGGACTATGGGAGGTTCAAGTGTAGCGTAAAGGTTTGGTGTCATTTTAGGGAGACGGCAGGGCACAAGGTAGACACATGTGGAAGCCATATTGGCCATATGTGGGAAATGTATGACTCAGTTACAAGTCTACTAAAGGTGCACCAATACGTTGGTCTGATATCGGATTGGCATCGATATAAAGAAAATTTTCTGTATTTAAAATCGGCCTGATGCGGCCAATAATTTGTCCGATAAATGCCCGTGGGTGCACGCAGCCACAGCGCAGTGCATAGGCAGTGAGGAGCACAGCCAGTAGTGTGGAGACTTGCGTACAGCTGGTAAGTCTGGTATGGTGGAGGGGGAAGGGGCATGGGGGAGCAGATCAAGGCCCTCACCATTAAGAGATGGTGTGGGGTTGGGGTTGGGGCTGGGGCAGAGGCTGCCCAACACAAGGCGGGG